CTAATTCAGGTTTGTTAAGCTAGCTGCTCACTGGAAAGTTTCAGGCTTCTTCCTCTTACAATTATTTAGCAATATATCAATATATCAATATATCAATGTATATAAAGAGCTTTCTAACTGCTGATTAAAATGTGAACAGGCCAAATAATCCCAGCTCATAATCAGCATCATGTTTATCGGCCGGTTTCTCCACAAATCTCTCTAAATAAAGATGAAATAAGGGATCAATGATTGTGTGTGAGAAACATTAACAGCCAGTTATTTCCCAGGAATCCTTTCAGTCAATAACTTCCAATCACACTCATTGATAAGACACAGTGAGGCAACAAAGCTGTCGGAGGTTCAGAAGAAGCTGTTAATGGTGAATTATTGTGAGCAAACAGCAACAGGCTCAAAGAGTTTCACCATCTTTAGCTGCTTCACTCAGTAAAGTGGCATTGAACCTGATCAATACTATCTAAGCCAGTACTGATTGGACCAGGTTTGGCCCCACTTACCCGAGCCATTGAGAGTCCCAGTGTCAGGATATGTAGATGTGTTGTTCTCCACTGGTCATACTGGTAAACGTTACTGGTTCTTCCCTTTGTGTTGCTCAGCAGTTACCTTGTTTAGCTGCTACTCAAACATCAGAATTGATTCTCAACATATTAATATTAATAATGATGTCAGCGCTTCCTGAAGCTGCACTGCTCCACTCTCTGTTGTTATGTTTGGATCATCCTGCTGTTCGCACTGATGCAGCACATTTACTCAAGTACTGCGCTCAAGTACACTGTTGACGTACTTGTACTTCACTTCAGAGGGAAATGTACTGCAGTACAAGTACACGTAACTCTTCACTGCGCTACATTTATTTGACACTTACACTTACTTTGACATAAAAACACACATGATGTGCTTCTATAATACGATGGAGTACTTTACTACTAATGTACCTCGTAGTACACAAAGTATCTGAAACGGCAGCATTAAAATACTCTTACATGTATTTGTTAGTGACACAAACAGAGTAATATAATATTCTATAATAATATAACTCTGTGAAAGAAGGCGTTCTGCATAATGAGTACTTTTACTTTGACACTTTAAGTACATTTAGCTGATAATACTAATGTTAATACAGTATTTTTGTCCAGCTCTGCTGCTCCTCTACATATATGAAAGTAATGTCAGAGTGATGTATGTATTTTAGATTCTGCATGTTTCACTTAGTGTCTAATAAAGCAGCAGCATGTTATTATTGACTCCAGATTTCTATCAACATTAATATTCATGTCATTCTGTGTGGCTCTTGTATTCTGAGCCTCTGTGCTGCAGCTTTTAAATACCTGCCAGTGTAGTATAATGGAGTCCTGGATGCTGCTTTTTACTCACATTAATATTCTGCCTGCTTAGAAATGATCTCAGTCACTTTGTGCTTTGAATCTTAGGTTGTGTTTTTAGAGAGACTCTGTAACGTGTGTCCAGACTCCGGATGAAGTTTCCCAGCAGCTCTTGAATAAAGGCCCGTGAATGTAAAATGTATTTAAAACCTTTACTGTACAACAACTCACTGCAACAACATGAATGTGACAACAACATAAAGCTGACGAGTGTTTGGAGTCTCTGCAGCTTCATCTTCAGAGAAATGAAGTGAAACCAAGAAGGAAGGAGATGAATGTAAAAGCTGTGATTCCTTCTTTAGCATCCTGTCAGTAAACTCAGGTTCAGCCTCATGTTGTTCTCACAGTGTTAATAACGAGCCTCTGCTGATTTCAGAGGATTTCTGTGGACCTGAAACATCCCAGAGGAGCCCACATCATCCAGGAGGTAGGACTCACTCCCAGCAGCAACCTGTCCGATGGCTTCGTGTAGCGCTGGCTGGCTCTGACGTTTTCACTACTAATGCAGGTCCAACACCTGAGCGGCGGCTCGGATACCAAATTATACTTTTTTCAGACTTTGAGAAATCTGTTTTTCTATAAAGCCTTTTTTTGACTGAACTAAACAGAAGCAGCCGTACAAGAAGGGAAATCAATGGCAGTGTGAAACTGGTCTGAAACTGGACACATGATGGTTTAAATCAGGAAGGATCTGATCACAGGATCAATCAGCGTGATTCTGGATCTGACCAAACATCTGCTGTGAACCTTCAGGACTTTTTCTCAGAGTTACCGTCACGGAGCTACATGGAACAGAGTTCACATGACCGTAAGCTGCCGTCTGCTGGGAGAGTTTTTATCTGACGTTTCAAAGAAAATCCAGAAGCAGCGATACAGACTGTGAACAGCAGCTCGTTCCACAGTTCAGGTGGCGTGACAGCAAGATTCGCAGATCCAGACTGAGGAGCTGTGAGAAGAGCCGAGCTCAGCGGGCGTCCTTGTATTCTGGGGTCAGCAGGTCAGAGAGAGCTTGGAGCTGATCCATTTAAAGCCTCGGAAGTGATTAATTATTTATTATATATAAGTGATTAATCGAACCTGAGCTGGATTCTGGAGGCAGTGGGAAGCCAATGAAGGGAAGCTCAAACTGGGCTGATGTGTCTTCCAGTTAAAGCCCAGCAGCTGCATGTTGGACCAGCTGCTCACCCATAGAGGACTCAAAGCTCCTTCAGACCTGATGAACATCACAGGTGGAGGTGGGCAATCAAATCTTCACTGTGATGATTTAACTGGTGGTTCTGGACGGCGTTTAAACCCTGGAGAAGTGACAGGATCTGATCTGTAGTAGACATGGACCTTCAGCAGGACAAAGCCAGAAGAGAGTCTCAGCAGCGACCTGTAGCTGTCATTACAACAGCACACCTGATGAGCTTTTACAGGCTCTCGCTCTCCTCAGGACTTTTCTCCATCCTAGGCCCATATGTTGATGTCAGCATGTTTCCATCTGTCAGATAAGCAGCAACATGTTGGACTTCCTGCATTTGAACACAAAAGTCAAACTTCACAGCGAGCTGATAAAATGCAGTAGAAGGAAAACACTCAGAGATCCACTTTAAACTACAAGGCCGGGATTTAAATGACTACTTTGTTCAGCGTCACCTCCAAACCTCTCAGTCATGGATGCTGCAGCATTGGACCGTCAACCATCTGCTGTCAAGTCTCCACCATCAGGTACAGCTGTCTGCAGAAACTGGAACAAGGTGACTACTGCTGGGATGAAAGTTCATCATCTGGGTTTAACTTCAGTGTCTAAGTTTCTACCATGTTGGGAACAGAACAGTTTGATGAAGCCCTACACGCACCAGCACAAGATGAGGAGTCAACAAGAAGGGGATTCATTAGTGACGAGGACAAAGAAAATCCAGGCCGGATGTCTGACAGCAACAAACTAAAGCTCACATTCCCGACACAAGAAGCAGAAGAGGAGGATGCGGGAATCAGCTCTGATGAACAAGAGGACAAAGCTCATGAGACGATGGAGGAAGCTGATGAACCTACAGTGCATCTGTCACAGCCTCCACCGCCACAAGCTGGCAACATTTAGAAAGCAGCCACATGTTTGAGGATTGAAAATCTCACCTGTCACATTAAACATGGAGCCAGAGACGGAAGAGTCGTCTATATGGAGCCCCTTTGTTTTACTGCCAGATAGTTTTACAGACGTGAAAAGATCTGAACAAAGAAGGTCTTAAAAACACTAACGGCAGTTTTAGACACCGCTCTAGATCTTCATCCAGAACCTGAGGAGATTCTTGGTGTCGTCGAAGCGACGCTCACCGATCTTTTAGCGGAACCCAACACTGAACAGAGAACTGAAATCCAAGAAGCTCTCCTAAAGAACACAGATGGATCTGTCATTATCGATGCTGCGTATCTCTGGCAACAATCACTGGAGAAAGTAAAATGTGTGCTGATGTTAACAGGAAGAGGTTTTCATACAAGTGAGGCGTCTCCAGAGGGACCATGGCGGTCTACACGGACCCCCTTTGTCTCACTACGAGGCTCGTTTGCAGACATATGTGAACAGATATAAACAAAGAAGTTCTTCCAAACCTTCAGGGCAGTTTGAGGTTTCTTGGCGTCGTTGAAGCAGCACTTACTACCAGAGTCCAACACTGAACAAAGAGCAGCTGAAGATTGAAGAAGCTCTCAGGAAGAATCCAGATATTTCTCTCATTCTGGACGCTGTGTGTCTGGTAGCATCACTGGAGAGAAAAACTCTGCAAATCATCTGAAGGATTTTTATTTTAGCTGCTGAGTTTCCAATAAAAACGTGTGCTGATGTTAAAAGAAAGATATTTGACTCCATCATTTGTGATTGGACATTTTAACTTTATATCTGATGTGCTGTTTAAACTGATTGATTTTAGAAAACTTCAGGCTTTCTGGGTACTCAGCCTGGAGGATATACTGCAAGTACAAGTACATGAGTGTATCAGGGCAGCACTCAGTCCGCTGAAAACAAAAGTCTAGTCAAAGTGAAAGATGCTTTTCTTTTGCTGAGTTCTCAAAGAAAAGTTGCTGTTTAAAGATTTCTGACAGGCAGAAGTTCATCAACATGCTGCTGTCTGGTTTTACTGAGAACCAGCCGCCAGTTTATGTCACTGATTTCACCCAAAAACATCCATTGTGTTAAATTTATCACTACAAAAGTCTTTATTGACTTGCAACAGAAGACAAGTTGAGTCCAGAAGACAAACCCTGGTGAACATGATGCTGTCAGGACTGATGAAGGCCGGGGAACCAGAGGAAACACACAAAGATAAGAAACATGAGAGAGAAATATTATTTTAAGGAAGCCCAGATTTCCATCAGACTGATTCAGTGTTCTGGTGTCTAAACAAGATGGATCTTCAACATTTCTTTAAACTTGAATTTTCTCTAAACCCAGCTCAGTGTCAACTGCTGCTCCATCATTTCCGCTCTGCTTAGATTGAACTAAAAATGGATTTTTGATGTGGATTAAGTTAGACTTACTCTGGACAAGTTTTATTAAAAGTCAGAAAAAAAAACAGAGAAACTTTACACCAGTTTGCTATTGAGTAAAATTCAGGTGTTACATGCATAAAGAGATTAAACCACGATTTAAGGCTCATTTATTGATCATGTCAATTTTGTTTTTCCAAAGAGAGAAAAGCCTGCAGGGACTCTGAACATAAAACACAAAAGACATTAAATATAATACAAATATGTAAAACAAACTGTAAAACCCACCACACAAAAAAGTATCAAGCACTGCTGGACGTCTTCTGACTGTGAAGGGAAGTAAGCATGGTGTGTCTTTCATCTGCTGCAGTAAGTTTCTTTGGACAACTACTGCATCTACAGTCCTCAGCACTGCCTGTTTCTTTGTGCTTCTTCAAAAGAGCTTGGACAGCACATCTGGAAACCCCTGTCTGCTTGAAATGTATCCCTGGTAGAGACCTTGCTTGTGTCTTGTTGCTGTGTTCAGTCTTGCTCTGAGGTTTGCCTGACAGGAAACTGTATTCAGCACCTTGTTAGCTGAGTTTAGCTGTTCCTCACCTGTTGTATTCCTCCCACACAGCTGTTTCTCACGTAATGATTGTGTTTCAACATACATATTGAATTTATGATCATTAGCACCTGTTTAATCTTACACCTGACAATGTGCCTAAAAAGTCCCTCACTGTGAAAGTTTACCGATTTACATTTACTGATCCCATTTGAAGGCAAAGTTTGGTCACACCAAATATTGATTTGAAATAGATTTTTATTCTTTTCACCCAATTTGTATTTTGTTAAGTGATAAATCCTTTAACATGTGTATTTTTACACAGTTAACTGACGTCCATGTCTTCTTGTTTCATTTGCAGAGTCTCAGTTCTGCTTCAGCTCAGATTCAGATTTCTGGAACAGTGTGGATCCAACTTCCTGAAGTCCTCAATCAGAGCTGAACTGGCTTCTGTTCCTTTGTTTCGCACCATGTCAATCACCGCTCGAGCCCCGTCAGCCCTGGTTCTGGTTCTGGTTGAATCCATTTCTTCTTGATTTATTATGCCCCGTTGCAAAAGCCGATCCAGCAGCTGGTTCAGAACAGGTTCAGACACTGAATCTACAAACTGGGACCGAACTGATGCCAACCTGCTCCGTGGGGAGCCACTCTGAGGCCTCGCTGGATTCTCTTCACGTACAGCTGGATCTAAGCAGAACAAAGAGTTCAGTAAAACAGACCTGTGACTGTGTGTTCGCTCAGAAAGCAAAGCAGATTATTCAAATGAATGTTAGACACAAATTCTCCAAGTGCAGCCTGATGCAAACAAACTCAGGCTGATCCTGAAGCTCAATCAACATCCAGAGAGGAAACAGCAGAGACACTGGAGGGAAATAAGAGAAAGAAGTGGAGTTAAAAGTATGTCTTCTTTCTTCTTCTGCAGAGTTCAGAGATCATTCAGAGGCCCAACTCAACACAAACACAAACTTAGTTGTGGCATCTGTTGCTAACTAGCTTACAACTAACAATGAACACAAATAGTCCATACAGCTGCTTTCTGTTTGAACAAACGTTTAGAAATTAAATGGACTGAATGAAATGTATACAACAATTTTGAGTGTTTAAAGGGTCAGTTCAACTGCCAACTACATTCAGAGCCCGGGGTATACCAAAGCACACAAACTCTGTTTCACTCAGGAAGTTTACAGTGTCTTTTTACAGCTTCTTCTCTGAAACGATGCTCTGAGAGTGCTGAGAGTGAACCAGAACAGGAAGCTGACCCCCCTAAACAAGGCTTGGACCTCACCAAAAAGAGGCAAAAACAACAGTCCAGTGGGGTCTTTCTTATCTGTAATTGTGAATAATACAATATATTTCCCATACTCATGCCTCATATTGAAGAATCTTCAAATACAATTTCAGACAAATGGACCATACCATTTTCTGCCCACATCACTTGCAGCAGCTGCTCCAGTCCAGTGCATCACATGCTGATGGAGACACTGTCAGTTAGCTATTTAGTTCCCTCATCCAAAGGATTTCTTCAGTTCAGAACTGAAGAAGTCCTTTGGATGAGGGACGAAACGTCTTCCAGTATCTTCAACCAAGTCCAGTTGCTCTTGATTTTAACCTTCGTTGGATAATAATAATAATCTTTATTTGTAGAGCACTTTTCAAAAACAAGTTACAAAGTGCTTTAACAAGTGTAAAGACAATAATACCCAAGAGACAATAATACAAAAACAATACAAGATAAAAGCATGAAAACATTGAAAAGACTAAAATACACTTTTAAGATAAATATAAAATTAGTAAAATAGAATAAAATAAAAGGGATAAAATAAAGTCAGATAAGATTGGGAAAGGCTCTGCTCTAAAAGTATGTTTTAAGAAGGGACTTAAAAGAGTTCACTGACTCAGCCAACCTGATTTCCTCGGGCAGGCTGTTCCAGAGCCTCGGGGCCCTGAGAGCAAACGCTCTGTCCCCTTTAGTTTTCAGTCGAGACTCTGGAACAGACAACAGACCTCTGCCCGAGGATCTCAAGGTACGTGCTGGTGTGTATGGGACTAAAAGGTCAGAAATATAACAAGGCGAGAGGCCATGAAGAGTTTTAAAAGTGATCAATAGAATTTTAAAGTCAATTCTAAAACATACTGGGAGCCAGTGTAATGAAGCTAAAATAGGAGTAATGTGGTCATATTTCTTTGTTCTGGTTAAAAGCCTGGCAGCTGAGTTCTGGACAGTCTGGAGTCGATCAATAGATTTTTGGGTTAAACAGGTGAAAAGGCTGTTGCAGTAATCCAGGCATGATGAGATGAAGGCGTGTAAAATGGTCTCGGTGTCCTTAAAAGTTAACATAGAAATATAGCAAAAATTCGATCTAAGTTGATAAAAACATGAACACTTGAACAAGCTTTGTGGTGTGCTGCTCGAAATTTAAATTACTATCAAACCAAACACCAAGGTTCTTTGCCACGGGCTTCATGTGATTTACTAGGGAAGCAGCAGATGGCAGTATTTGTTTTGCCATCTGCTGGAACCCAATGGCCAGGATTTCTGTTTTGTTAGAGTTCAGCTGGAGGAAATTATTTGACATCCATTTTGTTAACTTCACAAAGGCAGTTGTTAAGTGAACTCAGCATTCCAGGGTCTGTGGATCTGACGGGCAAGTATATTTGTGTGTCATTAGTACTATGAAAAGAAATACCATGTTTATGGATAATATGTCCAAGGGGAAGCAGATACAAGGAAAAGAAAATGGGTCCTAAGACCGACCCCTGAGGCACACCATATTTAACTGGACAGAATGAGGAGACATAGTTGTTTGCAGACACGCAAAACTTCCTGTTTGACAGGTAGGATGAAAACCATTCTAGGGCAGTACCAGAGATCCCCACCCAGTGCCTCAGTTTGTCTAACAAGATGTTGTGATCAGTGGTGTCAAAAGCAGTGCTAAGGTCCAGGAGTACCAGGACTGAGCACATGCCTTCATCAGCAGACATTAAAAGGTCATTGGTGACTTTAAGCAGGGCAGTCTCAGTGCTGTGGTACTTCCTGAAACCAGACTGAAACTTTTCAAATATTTTGTTATTTTCCAGTACAGTGAGCAGCTGTTTGGATACAATTCTTTCTAGAATCTTTGCAATAAAAGGCAGTTTTGAAATTGGTCTAAAATTATGTGGGAGGGAGGGATCTAAACCAGGTTTCTTTAAAAGTGGGTTCACGCAAGCCGTTTTAAAATAATCAGGGACACAACCAGTAGATAGGGAGCTGTTGAAAACAGAGGTCAAATGGGGCCCAACAGAACGTAGGCCTAACCTTTAGAGGAGCAGTAATATTTAGTGACGACAAGCAGATATGATTGAAGTGATCGACCAGATTGTTGGTGTTGGAATCAGACAGGTGTTGGCTTTGGCTCTGAAAGAATGCGCAAAACTAAAGATGCGAGAACACACAGAGCTTGGTGAGGCGGCATGAGTAACAGGCGAATCGCATCTAAAAACAATACATCTGTGGTCAGATATGGTCATGTCCACTAATTCCACAGAGGAAATGCTGAAACCCAGGGTAAAAACCAAGTCCAGTGTATGACCATGGTTATCTCATCTCATATTTTATGTAATTGTCAGCTTACACTGGTGCTTAGGCATGAGCAGTGAAATTGAAGATTAATTATTAAAGATATCCATTTTGACTTCAATACAGAGTTTATTAGTTAATTTTAAGTCTTTTGTGGGTATTTTAACAAAAGACTAAGCAGTCACTTGTTTTCACTCTGGAATTCAGGAGTTTTACCTGGCTGGGAAAAGGTTAAAATCATCCAGGTTTGTTATTTCAAATGTATTCAGTTTCATTCCAAAAGTCATCTTGTTGCACTCTGGTTAATATTATTTACAGAGACCCAAAACTTCCCAATTCCCCAACAATGTATGACAACTGCTTTCTTTAACCCAGATTAGGAATACGTTGCATTCACAGTCAACATGTCAACATTCACAGTCAACACTTGAAATGATAAGAATTAGGAATTAGAGATGATAATGCAGTCTTGTTCTGGTTCAGCATTGTGTGGGTCTGACTTTCTGCCAGTTTTGCTCTAGAATACTAGGTGACCCCTGACTACAAAAGTTGTCATGTGGTATCAACTGGTATAATATTTGATTCATCATCATCTACAGAGTGCACACATTAGTTGTAAGCATTGTAAGATTTTAGTTTACTTAAGCACGCGCCTGCGCTGTACTGGGTTTTCTTTTTGACCTGGAAACACAGTTAACCCCCCCAGATGTCACTGTATAATTCGCACCCTGTGCAGGTGGATGAAGACTTTACCTTTCAGATCAACTGCATGCTCCCAGACCTCCGTCTTTCTTTGGTCTTGGACCTTTATAGTCACTTCTTCTGTGTTTGTGGGCAGGCGGATCTCAAACGTGGGGTGGTAATTTGGTCCATATTGCAGTTTAAAAGGTGCATTCTGAAAACCAAAATGTCAGAACAGCATCCACAGTAAACCAATGGTTTGATGAATCATGTCAGCAGAGACCTTTATTTAAAATGCTCACCTTAGGCTGGATTTTGATGGCCTGAGGACAGTCGACAGTGTAACTTTCATCTGCGATGAGAATGCATGTGGAAGGAACCTCGATGTTCTCAGCATGTCGCTGTTGCTGTCGTTTGTTCACCTTCCAAGACATCAGAACATTTTAAGGGTTTATTCTCAGTAAAGCCGACTGATAAATAAGCAGGCCAATTTAATCTCGTTACAGACATACGAGTATCAGCAGATTTGTAGGCCCTTAAGTACTTGGTACTGCTGATGTACTGCGGTAAGCGTGTCGACTCATTTCCGTTTCCGGTGCTTGTGTGTTGGTACCGTGTTGTGCTGTTCACGCTAAATAACAGTTACATTTGTTAGATTACAGCAGCCAACTGTTCGCTAAACACTTATTCTTTACAGTAATTTTGCCTAAGCACTCACAGTTCTTTCCATCTTTTAGTGACTGCTGTTCAATCTCATAGTTGTTCTAAAGTTTTGGTAGCTGACGCTACAGTACTTTAGCTTAGCCGTTAGCAACTTTAGCTTAGCATCTAGCGATGGCTTCTCCTTCCACCTCTCTCTCTCCTACTTTCTCCTGCTCGGTGTGTCAGATGTTTAGTTACTCCTCTGCCTCCTTTAGCGGTAATGGTACGTGTAATAAGTGTAGTTTATTTTTAGACATGGAGGCGAGGCTCAGTGATTTAGAAGTCCAGCTCCGCACCTTGGTAGATCAGTCTTTAGCTACTGTAGCTAGCCAGTCCCCGGTAGTCGGTGCGGAACGGCCTGAGTTAGCCTCTGGTAGCCGTCCCCCAGGATTTCCTGAGCAGCCAGGAAGGGGGGGCTGGGTGACTGTCCGAAGGAGGAATAGTCGTAAGCATTCAAAGTCCACGGGGCATCATCAACCTGTTCACGTTTCTAACAGATTTTCCCCACTCAGCGACACACCCACTGAGAAACCAACTCTGATCATTGGCAGCTCCATTTTGAGAAACGTGAAGTTAGCGAAGCCAGCGGCCATAGTTAAGTGCATCCCTGGGGCCAGAGCGGGCGACATTGAGTCTTATTTGAAACTGCTGGCTAAGGATAAACGTAAATACAGTAAGATTGTTATTCACGTCGGCGGTAATGACTCCCGGTTACGCCAATCGGAGGTCACTAAGATTAATGTTGAGTCGTTGAGACTGTAGTTTTCTCTGGACCCCTGCCAAATCTGACCAGTGATGACATGTATAGCCGCAGCTTTGCATTAGAAAGGGCTGCAGATACCATTAGTCTGAGCTGTTCCGCTTAATTTGTTTTTTCCTAATGGCCGATTCTGTGGCTGTGATGAGGTCCACTATAGGTAGTTGCTGTGGTGTAATGGAAAAGTTTAATCCTTTGGCCAGAACGTCTTTCTCTGGTTGGGTGAGTTCCTATCTGACAGGTTTTTCACCCATCTGTTGTCTGTTTCAAGTGTTGTGGGGTTGTTGTCCTTTCTCCTCCAAGACAATTCTCCTGTTTTGTTAGTGCAGCTCGCTCTGGACTGTAGGTTTTGGAATTTCCGGGTCTGTCTTTCTTTGCTCTTGTTGTGCTGAGATAGCTGAGCTTTCTTGATGAAATCCATGACCTTTTCCAGTGCTGTACTGGGCAGATATGTTTCTAGTTTTTGGTATATGTTGTCCAATTCTTTGTTTAGGGCTTCAATGGTGAAATGTATCTGTCTCACTCTCTCACTCAGTAGTAGTATTCAGCTGGTAGTAAGAGATGCAATTGGGCCAGCCCAATGCCAGTATAAACCTATGCTTTATGGGCTCATTGTTGGCCCATTTTCAAAAAAACAGCTATATAAGTAAATAATTTACGTTACACCGGCCCCAAAGGTTCTTCGGCCCACCGGGCATTTGCCCTGTATGCCAGATTAACAGTCCAGCCCTGAGGCTACCCCCTTTAGACCGTCTGACAGACACAGAGCCCGTCTGGGACTGTACCCTACTCGATGAGACGAGCACGCTGCTCTTCAGAAGAAGAAAACCAAAACTGAAAACACTTGTGATCAGACAGAAATATCACCACAATTCCACACAAATGTTCACTTCAGCACCTCTGATAAAGTGCAGCTCACAGCCACTTCAGAGGGAATGAAGCATCCTGGATACAGTAAAACAGTAGTGTCTCCGAGCGTGGGGGACAGAGACAGCAGGACACAGAGCGTCAGGTGTCATGATATTCTCTCACTACTACCGTTTGTGATAAAACATTAACTAGACACTGACCGACAACATTTATATTTAAATGTTTTGATTACAATTAATCTTTGGATTAATAATTCACAAGTTGTGGACAAGTCCTGAAGCTGTGAGCAATGCGCGCTGTCTCTCTCTCTAAATGCAGGCAAGCTGAATAATGGTGGGGGGGTCACGTTACATGAACTTCAAACAGAATGTATTTTTGCATATTAACATGGAAAATATTTTTGTTGTTGAGTTACAATTGTGGCTACAGTCAAAACATCCGGAGGTAAAGCCCCAGAGAAATGACCTGGCGACGCCGAGGGGAAGAACAGCTGGTTAGTGTTCAGTGGACACCTGACTTGTTGAAAAACTGTAAACGGACAGCTGTAGGATGAAGCTTTACCTCGTCCAGATGGATGTTGCTCGGCAGGAGAAACAATTTGAGTTTTTGCCTCTGTGTTTCTGGGTTTGGGGGTCCGAGGAACAGCAGAACTTGGCTGCAAACTGGTGTCGTCCACAACCTCTTAATGATATCCCAGACTAGGCCGAAGGCAGAGAGGTGAGGGACTTTGACAACCACATGAGTGTCTGTAATCTCCTGCGGGTCGAGGATGCTCATTCCATCATCAGTGATGTGGACGACAGACAGCAGACCATCAGGCAGCAGAGCTGTGAAAACACAGAGCGTTAAACAACCTCATTACAATGTTAGTCCTGTTGTACTTCCAGGAAGTCCAAACATTGAAGACTATAACTGTTGCCCAGGTTGAGAAATTGATTGAACTGTCAGCGTTGGTGGATGGGAAGCCAGTGAGGGATTGTTCCCGTGTTGCTCTTTTCCATCAGTCTGGGCTTCTGTGTGTTCTAGAGAGGATAAACTGACCACTAACCATTCCAAAAGAACTGGAGATTAAAAAAAGTTTTTAGTTTATTCATGATCCCTTGGTGATTTATCCTGATGACTTTGGTGACCTCCTGAATTTTTTTCTTGCTCCAACTTGACAAAATTCCCACTTGTATCAACAAAAATATGAAAAATTGTGGGCCGATTAGCATGAAGTGCTCTAAGAAACATACTGAAGTCTGAATCCCTGAAGTTTATAATTAAGTTTGTAGCCCAGCCATTGCTATTAATGTTACGACAGCAGCTGAAGCATCTTGAACTTAATAAAGCTGCCAGAACAGATGCTGTCCATCCCCACGCTTTTAAAGTCTGTGGCGGCCAGTTGTGCTCAGTGCTTCATACCATATTCTCATTGTTCCTATCATCATCAAAAATTCCCGTGATATGGGAAAACATCTTGTACAGCCTTGTACTAATTCCCCAAAAACTAATGTGTCCTGTTGTGCCCTTACTAACACTATTCAACCACACACAGATACTTTAGCCCATATATTAATTCATTTTAATTTACACAACACCACCAGTGCTTGGAATTTAGATTACCTCTTTGTCCCCTGTTTCAGTATCTCACATTATTTTAAATAAAACAGGGCATGGTTTTATTCACTCTCTAAACCACTGACTACAGGTATAGCCCCCATTTCTGCCCACCTGTCTGGCCTGGTGACAAATAAATATATAATAAATAATAAATAAAGAATACAAAAGGAGTAAATTAAAACTCCTCGTTAAAGCTAAATCTGTCTGGCCCTAACCCTTGCATGGTATTCAGCTCTTCATACTGTATACCAGGATGCTGGGCGGGACAGGATTAAGAAAAACAAAGCAAAGGAACCACAATTATTTCATGTCTGGCTCCTCCACAAAGGACTTGCAGCATATCCACAACCCTTCTGTGGTCAATCATGGTCCCAGAGGCCTTTCCTCTAGTGCCACCATCAGGCAAAACACAGGAATACAAAGTATTAAGATATTAATTGAATACCAATCACCACAGTCCGAAATCTTTGAGGCACGTTCCTGGTGAGTCCGCGAGGGCTCACTGTCAGATCGCTGATGCGCAAACTTTCAGAGCTTTTTATGCACACTTTGAGAAAGTCATCATGTCTGCAGACTTTACCCATAATTCACAATGATGTTAGTCTGGGAAGCTGGCGTAAAAAAACCTGGATGAAGATGTATTATGCAGTTTAAAAACGACTTAATAACTAACCCAAACCCTCGGCCATGAAGAAAGTAAAAAATGTAAAATAAAAAGTCTCGAACCCACAAATGGTTTGGCGTAGTCTTGGTAACGTGATATGTCCCTTGATACCATTTTGGGCCCTTGCAGCCTCTTGTGCTTAATCACTCACCAGGTGAGCTCAACTAAGACTGTGAGGGTTCAGGGCTCAGGCTTTATTTGGAGGTTGGGACTGGGCCAAAAAGACAAGATATTAAATAATTTCCCTGAAATGTACTGAACACATTCATGGATGTTGTTTTCATCACAAAGCACATTAATGTCCTCACCGTCCTTTGTTTCACAGTGTGGCAGGTGGAGCTGACAGACAGCGTTCTCAGGACACTTGATACTGAACAGCAGCCCTGCAGCCGTCTTGCCGGCTGATTGGAGGAGGCTCTCATCCCATTGGACAGTCCAGTACAGCAGCTCCGCCTCCTGAGCCACAACAAACACCAGTCCAGTCAAAGCACACTGGAACACACCTGGACCAGGACACCTGAACCTGCAGGACACAGGGAAGAGAAAGTTGAATATGGTGAGATGATGCATATTTTGTTACTCTTTCTGGCTGATTCATTTAGGCTGCATATTTTTGGTGGTTACTCCTCATACGCACTACAGGATTGGTGTTACACTGAAGGCTCATTACAGCATCAAATTTTGGTAAGTTTTATAAACTATGGAAGAAATTCAAGTGCTGTGCTGGATTCTTTAAAAAGTTGGAGATCAATCTGAATTGCTGAAGCAGCAGCTGTGGGAGGAGGAAGTGTATGAGTGTTGAAAATGAAGAGTAAGCACTGAAAGGAGTTGACATGACAGTTGATCTTAAATGCTGTATGCTTGAAAATAACTAATTTATCAGTAAATTTAACAAAAAGTGTTTCTAGTAGTTGTGAACGTTCACACTGGCAGGTGGAGGGAAAAGCTGTCCAGCACAGAGAGGGATGATCAGATATCAAATATTAAGATAACAGAGCACGAATAAAGAAAGAGAAGTTCAAAACTTTCTATTTTCTCGCTCCCTCCCACACAGCTGACCAATCTCTGAGTGAGGTGAGTCATGTGGGATTGTCTTTCAGAAAGTTAAAGAGATTGTCCTACAGAGCCTCCAGGGGTTTGTGAAGCTGTTCCACCATCAGAAGAGTAGTTCTGCTGAAGTATGCTGGCGCCTTCTGAGCTAAACTCTACTGAAAAGGTCCAACTTTCAGTTAAAGTGCTGAGAGGAGGTGAAGCGTAGGTTAAAGTCACTGAATGGAGCATTCTGCATGTTGTGACTTGGTTACCTGTATGAAGTCTTTCCAGACTCAGTCAGCAGTTCAGGTGTGAAACTTAACTTCTCCTGAAATAAAAAGGCACAACATTAGTTACAGAACACGTTGAGATGGGAGCAGAAACTGGCCGCCCAACTCTCCCAGACAGGATCCTCCTTGCTTCACTTTACTACGTGCACTCTTTACTATTTATTCTTTTGTTTATTTAACCGGGACAGTGGACAGTCACTGACTCTCCCAGAGTTAGCTAGGTAGCTATAGAACCCAACAGAACAGAACTTTCTAAAAGCACTTTCCATTTAAAACATTGCATCATACAAAAAAAGAAATGTTCAGTAGTTTATGATTAATGGTCACATGACTGGTTATGTTTCAGCCATCAGTTGTGATTTTAAACTGGAGAGTAGAGCAGTGCCTGATGGATGATTGTGCTGCAGCTCTAATGGAGAAAGCTGACCGTCCAAATCCAGCAGACCTGTGCTGTACTACACAGTTACCCTGATGTTATCTGAGCACAGTGAACCAAACTCTGTCAGTGGGGGAAGAGCAGGATTGTGGGTAATTTTGTACATTAAGCAGGATTATGCAAAGTAGACAAAATGGTCAAAGGTCAGAAGGTTGTACTTGGTAATTATATGACAGTGATGATACCTCGTAGGCTTTATGTCCACTTCTTTTTTATGAACTGTGCATGAGCCTAAGAAGGTTTTTCCTGCTTGGGACCAAGTGGTGATACGATATGACAGGTGTGGGGAAAATCACAGAATTGGTTCCTGATGAATTTTGAGATGCTAAGGTTCACTTTGACTGTACAGATGACCCTTTACACCTGTTTTTAAAGGTTAGGTGTGAATCGATAATTATCCAAAGGTTCTTAAAGTCTGAGACTATTTGAAGCTTTTTACCTAAAAAGATTTCGGACTGATAAACATCTTTCCACTGACTGAGTGAGACAGTCAGAGACATCACTTGATTATCTTTTGTCAAAATTACTAAATTATCATCATTATTCTTCAGGGAAATTATCCTGCACAGGTGAAGCCTGCAGAGCTCTGTTGGACAGCAGCTGGTGGTTTCATAGATGTAGAAATAAATTTTGGGGTTTCTGATGGAAGAGGAAGAAGAAGAGGAGAGAGAGAGAGGAGTGGAAAAGAAGGATTTAGAAGGTAAGAAATATTTAACCTGGAGGCGGAAAATCTAAGAAACCAGAGTCAGAATTACTGAAAAATTAATGAAATGTTAAAGTTAAAAACTGACCTTTGTATTCAGAGGCTCTCCACACAGAAGCTGCTGTTGCTGCTTCAGTCTCTCTGGATCATCTGGACATAGCTGATCCTCTTTGTTCTCCTCAGACACAGCGAGCTTTGTGTTTGATGTGGACGGATCTGGTGGTGATCAGAGCCATCGGATGGAGAGAAGAAGAAGCAGATGTCAAACTCACTTTTGGAAGTCCTGGTGACCCAACATTCAAAAATCTGTCACAGCAACCAAATCACGGCTGGCCAGGGCCCTCTGGAGCAGGTCTTTACCCCATGTTTCCTGTTGTTATCTACTGGAAAACTCTCCAGTAAAGTCAAAATGTAGAAGACCAAGCACAGTCACGTTTAAAAGTTCAATGAAAAGTTATCCCGAGTCAATCAAATGTACACAAAACAAAAAGGACAGAGATTCAAGACATCCCTGCAGTGAGGCAACACAGCAACAAGACATCATATTTCCCAACATGCAGAGCAGAACAAAGCCAAAGACCTGCTGTGGTTACTGAGATTAACCAGAGCCATGAAGCACACAGCAGCAAATCTTCAGTTTACATTTCTTATAAATAATCCAGTGGACCGGTACTCACGTCCTTCATGTCTGTCAGGTGAATCCTTGATTCTTATGCCATTCAGCCTGTAGGAGTAAATACAAATACTGCAGTTATCTATTAAGAAGACAGTTGGTGTCCGTCTCTTCACTAAAAGTAACACTGGTAACACCAAACTGTTTTCATTTTACTCAACCTGGATTTTCCAATCCAGCTACAAGTACATTCACATGAAACAATCTCCTTTTAAGCTTCATTTATCCTTTGTAAGAGCAGCAGAATGCGTTAAACATCCAAACAGCATGAGAGGACTCCAGACTGGCTTCTTTGGAGAAACTTGTTCTGCACAGGAGGCAGAGTGAAGCTCTGATATAGCAGAGCCCTGTGTGTTACAATGCAGCACCCAAATATTAATATTTACACCCCAAATATCCCCCATACCTCATTGATCCTCTGAGGGGAAATTAATTTTCTGCATTTAACACCTCCTACTTAGGAGCATTGGGTAGCCACTGTGCCTGTGGAGCAGCTAAAGGCTCGTGCAGACTACACGACTTTCAGTGTCGACCGATGGCCGTGTTGTTCATACCACACAACTTGCCGTCTTGTGACGGGAGTCTTGAAGTCGTTGTGGTGTTCACACTACGTGACTGATCGGTGACAGAGGATCACACACTACACGAGCTGACAGCAGCTCTGTCAACCGACGTTGATCTCTAAACCACGTTTTTTCAAGAAAACGAAATGTGAAAAGCGAACCTACAGACGAAACAGGTTATTGTGATTGTAAAGATAGCAGTTATAAAGACAAAGAATCTGGCTGAAAGAATGGATTAGCACATGCAGGTAGCAGGGATTGTCTGAGCTACAGAGAGCTGGAGGGGAGTGAAACATGCTCCACCAGCTGCCTGCTCTCATTGGCAGGATGTGGATGTCGAGTCGGCATATTTCTCCAGATATTTGGCATGCTAGATATCTGGCCGACGTCGGCGATGTGTCAGAAATGTGTCGGGGAGCCGTTTTGATGCGTTGTTGAGTAGTTCACACAACGACTGCCGACCGCCAATCAACTGCTGATTTACTCCCGACCATAGCCTGATGGTCTCCATGCGGCAAATTGGGCTAAAAATCGTGTAGTGTGAACTAGGCTTAAGTGATCAGGGCCACTGTTAGGGACAGACAGACAGACACAGTATATTTAAACTTTAAGAGTCTGTAATACATACAAACAAGTACACAAAAATGTGTCATTAAGATTTTAATCTGGAACATTTTATGTTTATTTTTTATGTTTTTCATCACTTTTTCTTACAAAATGTCCTTACATTACAGCAATATTTATTTTCGAGATATTCCTTTTTTAAAGTCTAATAAAAGTCTTCAATGATAATGTGTTAACCATCTCTACTTAAGTGATTCTGAAGTGTTTTTGCTAATAATATCATAATAATAATTCAAATAAAGCAATGATGAGGTAATGACATCTTGTGTCGTAAGGACATAGTTTTAATGGTAAATGTTACCTCCTGTTATCTTCAGATTTACTAACATCTTTTATCTTAGGGGTCATTTTGACCTCCAGAAAATTAATTTGACAGAACATGAACTGCTTATTATTTTTCCTACAGCCCACCAGAGAGTTTGAGTGCACCTTGCTTTGCATTTTGACTTACACTCCTGCTAAAATGAACAACCCAATGTAGGCATACAAGTAGGTCTCCATACCCATACACACGCCTTCTTTCTAAGTTTGTCTCTTAACTTTTCATTTTTGGAAGAAACGTGTGTGCTGGTGGTTGAAAAACTACAGGAGGGTCAACACTAAGGGTCTCATCCTCATCAAAAGAGGATGCTTCACAATCGGGGTCCTCAAAGACCTGTGACAAAAACTCATTAAAAACCTTTGCTTAGAGGTCCAAGAGAAATGGTTTAGAAGGTTGCTTTGCAAGCATTGTTATGTTTGCTCATCCCCTATGTTGCGAACTATTAGTGTTCTTAGAAACCTTCCCCCATGGCGAGGAAATCGTTAAAGTTCTCTGGAATTATATTTTCTCCTCCCTCATGTCGGTTGAACCATCAGTGGTTCTTGCTCTACTACAGGTATGGTCATGGTAGATTGGGGCCCTAAAGCATAGGTAAGTTTTTTTTAAGATGTCATAGTCACCTCAATATCATCCACAACAACCAAAACAAGTGTGTGTAAAATGTAAACTTTTTACAGCTAAAACTTGGTCTTATCTATTGTTGCAAAAATTTGTGTCACATCTACGATCGCCTTAATAATTTGCACTTTAATAACTTGCCTTGAATTTGTCTCTACCGCAACACAAGGTCTTTACTGCGACACCTAAAGCTGCTGCGGTAAAGACATGTTGTGGTAATGACATTTTTGCTAATATACATGAATTCAACAGTAATATTAATTTATTTTTTGAATGTAGTTCAAAATACACAATTACTAAACTCTAAAGGACACACAATAAATACTTCAGAAAAGAAGATTATTGGGTGTGAATGCTGCAACCATTCTCAGCCTATGTTATTGCTATCCTTTATTATTCTTCCGTCATGTTTTTTTGTCCGCTAACTAGTCCCACAGCTTTTGACGTATGGGTTTTTTACTTTTGCATTGCCAAAATGCTGGATGGTAGTTGTACTTTCTGATGCACTAACCGAGAAAGAGACAAGCCTGAGCTGTGTTAGGTGAGGGATTCCCCACAAGGCAAATGTAAACATTACTGCAGTCGAGCGGCGGCATGGACCTGGTGCTTTTTAACAATAGAAATGTGGCAGCGGATGCTGTAACATGGATTGGAAGTGCCCAACACTTGCAGTTTGTGTTCATATCTTTCTTTTTCTTAAGTTGAGAGGTGGTCCAACTAAATGCAACTGCTTTTGCGGCGTCTCTACGGGGGAGTCATGAGCCATTGTGTCTGTTGTTTTACCCTCCAGGTACTGTGAATGTCACGTGACTGAAAACTATGAATTGCCTGAGTTAGAGCGGGTGACATCACCACTAGAGTGTAGCAGGCTTGTTAAATCGTCTTAAACTTTTCTCTTTAACTCAGTGGCTTGACCACAATTTTAACTCTTCATGCATAATTTCACACCAGAAAAGTAGTAAATTTTGTTGTGGTTCCTCACATGGGATTTTTAAATCCCGCGGACTTATAGATTTGGCTCAGCGCCCTTCCAAAGGACAAGAGTGACAGCTAAGTCCTCCATTGAAAGCCATCATAAATTTGTGGCAAAATTTCTGGAGCAGAGCAGAACATACCATTTTTTTAACTTGCAGAAGAGCTCACTTTTTTTTCTCCTTTATCCATACAAAACACATATCACATTGTTGACAAAGGCCTTCTGCTGCTGGTCCAGTCATTTTGCCGATACAACCTATAGTTTTGTCTCAATGGAGGTTTGTTTGACAGAAAGTCTCAGAAGGATTTTCCAATCTGTCTCTATTGTAGAGCTGGTTACTTTGGTGATGTAAGTTAGCTGATTAAAGATCAAAAGACTGGGTCCTCTGTTCTGATTGGTGGACTGAAGTTAAGCTATTTTCTGAACACCTGTCTGTGTCCTCTTCACTGAAGACACACACACACACACACACACAGAAGGAGACTTATTAGGCTTCTTATATTTTCTGTGTTGTTATCTGTAATGTTACAGTGTCAGATGTTCATGTTAAACGTGGCCAAAGCTCTACTCTTGACTCTTAATGATGTCATACAGAGCTGGTTTTCCATATATGGTAATTTACATATCTTATTTATTTATATTTATTTAATTTACACATCATCTACAGACCTGTTGGCTCTTTAGGCAAACTGCAGGGGGTCCAGGAGTGGGTCTGTAATGGATTTTAGGTGGGACAACACAAGGCGTTCAAAGGACTTCATAACCACAGAGGTCAGGGCGACGGGTCTGTAGTCGTTTAGTCCAGTGGTCCTTGGGACCTGGTTTCTTGGGGACAGGGATGGTGGTGGAGGCTTTGAAGCAGGCTGGCACATGGCATGTCTCCAGTGAGGTGTTAAAAATGTATGTGAACACCGGAGACAGCTGATTAGCACAGTGCTTTAGGGTGGATGGGGAGCTGCTTTGTGCGGTTTCTGCCTCCTGAAAAGACCATTGACTTCACTCTCTGTGATGGAGAGAGGAGGGGAGGGGGTGGAGCTGGCCAGCTCTGACGAGGGAGGGGAAGAAGTGGTGGACTGAGGCTGAAATAGAGCGGAGGAGTTACAGGGGATGGTGTCCGATTGACTCTCAAAGCGGCAGTAGAACTGGTTCAGCTCATGTGCTGGTCGAGAATCGTTTATGGAGTGGAGGACTTTGTTTTTATAGTTTGTGATCTGTCTGAACCCCCTCCAGAAAGAAGTGGCATCATTTGCAGAGAACTGGTTCTTTAGTCTCTCTGCGTACAGCCGTTTAGCTCCTCGCAACTCCCTGCTAAACCTGTACTTTAACGCCCTGCACCCGGCCCTGTCACCACTCCTAAATTCCTCCTCCTTTTCCAACCTCAGCTGTCAGAGCTTAGCTGTGAACCAGGGTTTGTCATTGTTATAACTCACCCTGGTCTGTGTTGGAATGCAGCCATCCTCAAGAAGCTGATGTAGGACGTCACAGCCTCTGTAACTCATCCAGATTGTTGGTAGCATTCTTGAAAACATCCCAGTCAGTGCAGTCCAGACATACCTGGAGGTCCTCAACAGCTTCACTAGTCCACTTGTTTGATGTCCTCACTACAGGTTTATACAGCTTTAGTTTTTGCCTGTAAGCAGGAATTAGATGGACCATCACGTGAACAGACTGTCCCAGTGGAGCATGTGTGACGGCGTGATAGGCACTGCTAACTTAATAAACTGTCTCTATTTGGGGCTTTCTTGGCTGAGATTTCCCCTGTTAAAGTCCGAGAACAATAACAAGGGAGTCCGGGTTTGTCTGCTCCACACACAGTATCCTGAACGTTGGCGTGCGGCGAGATGTAAACATCGACCGGAGTGAATGAAGCAAAACGGAGTAAAACGGTTTACAGTTAATGATAAGAAATTCCAAATTAGGAGAACACTGCTGCTGAATCACTGACACACTGGTACATCAGCCATTGTTAATATAAAAATAGACACCTCCACCTTTTGTTTTGCCAGAGAGTTCTGCGGTCCGCTCTGTACAGTTTGAAGCCTGCCAGCTGCAGCTTGGAGTCTGGTATCAGTTCAGACAGCCAGGTCTCCGTGAAGCACAGAACAGTAGATGAATAAAAGTCTCTGTTTTGAAGAGAAATATTGCCGGTAGCGGTGTGCGGAATCTCCATCAGCTGCCAGTCAGTGATGCAGCACATCCAGTATAAAGACCAGCAGGGACTTCAGTCCTGTTCAGACCAGAAGTGGAGCGGCTGTGTAGCGTAGCCAGCTTCCTTTCAGCTCTCATGTTAACGTATTGGAGTGAACACACTGAGACCTGCAGAGACTTTGGCCATCAGCTCTGTTTACTTTGCAGGTTTCACGGTTTCAAGTCCACAATGGAAATAAAGTGCTGAGAGTCCCTGAACGCATCATGACTGCAGAGACAGAGAGATATTCACTGCTCACTGTAATGATGGATTTACTGCTGTTAGGGCTCAAAGCTGTTAAAAACCAGCCGCTCAGTCACATTTGAAGATTTCATCTACTTTTTAAATATTACAGGACAAATCTGTAAATATGGATGTTCTAAAAACATCTGGACCAAACTAAAGACACATGGACAGATATAGATATGATGTTAAAGGTCCTACATGTTCATACAAAGACTGAACAGCTAAAGATCAGCTGTGGTTACTGGATTTCAGGAGAGGTTCTGGTCTGAAGAAAGACCACATGGTTACTAAATGTAATCAGGGACGTGCACAGGGGGGTTGCTCTGGTTGCCCGGGCAACTGCCCGTTTGCCTTTCCTGACTCAAGTTGCCCTTCCGACTCGCCCTTCCGAGAAAATAAAATAAAATAAATAATAATCGCGATCGCAAAGCCTCATTCACTTCCATTCGGGCACCGAAAGTGAAAGTCAGTAGGGGAAGAGCAAACTCTGTTTAAGTGGCTGCACTGCTGCAGCGCTGCCTGCACGTCAGTCGATTCTGTTCCCTACCGGAATTCCTGTTTCCTTCCTTTATACAATCATACTACAACAAATCATGCGTAGTTTTGCCCAGTTACCATACGTGATACGTACCAACAGAAGTGAATACGAGCTAGAAGCGCAACTGAATGTACGGGAAGCCAAAAGGTTAAAAAAGGATTGTATTTTTTTCCTAAATCTAAGCGTTTTTTTATTTAATATTTTATTAGAAGCGAGTTTTCCCCATCTGTCAATTCAATCTAGATTATTTATTTTCAAATAAAAAAAAAAGGAAAATAATAATAATAATAATGATTAAAAAAACAATAAACAATAATATAAGGAACTCTTTTTCTCATATGTATTTTGGTGACATTTATATTGTTAATACATTTTGGATACTGTGTTTAGTGCCTTTTTTCAGGTCAGAGCAACTGCCCTTCAAAATTCCTGTGCACGTCCCTGAATGTAATGATAATAATAATATAATAATGTTTATTTGTAGAGCACTTTTCAAAAACAACTTACAAAGTGCTTTAACAAATTCAAAGACAATAATACCCAAGAGACAATAATACAAAAACAATACAAGATAAAAGCATGAAAACATTGAAAAGACTAAAATACACGTTTAAGATAAATATAAAATTAGTAAAATAGAATAAAATAAAAGGGATAAAATAAAGTCAAATAAGATCGGGAAAGGCTCTGCTCTAAAAGTATGTTTTAAGAAGGGACTTAAAAGAGTTCACTGACTCAGCCGACCTCGGACAGGCTGTTCCAGAGCTTCGGGGCCCTGAGAGCAAACGCTCTGTCCCCTTTAGTTTTCAGTCGAGACTCTGGAACAGACAACAGACCTCTGCCCGAGGATCTCAAGGTACGTGCTGGTGCGTATGGGACTAAAAGGTCAGAAATATAACAAGGCGAGAGGCCATGAAGATCTTTAAAAGTGATCAATAGAATTTTAAAGTCAATTCTAAAACATACTGGGAGCCAGTGAAATGAAGCTAAAATAGGAGTAATGTGGTCATATTTCTTTGTTCTGGTTAAAAGCCTGGCAGCTGAGTTCTGGACAGTCTGGAGTCAATCAATAGATTTTTGGGTTAAACAGGTGAAAAGGCTGTTGCAATAATCCAGGCGTGATGAGATGAAGGCGTGTAAAATGGTCTCGGTGTCCTTAAAAGTTAACATAGATCGAATTTTTGCTATATTTCTAAGTTGATAAAAACATGATTGAACAAGCTTTGTGGTGTGCTGCTCGAAATTTAAATTACTATCAAACCAAACACCAAGGTTCTTTGCCACAGGCTTCATGTGATTTACTAGGGAAGCAGCAGATGGCAGTATTTGATTTGCCATCTGCTGGGACCCAATGACCAGGATTTCTGTTTTGTTAGAGTTCAGCTGGAGGAAATTATTTGACATCCATTTTTTTACTTCACAAAGGCAGTTGTTAAGTGAACTCAGCATTCCAGGGTCTGTGGATCTGACAGGCAAGTACATTTGTGTGTCATCAGCATAAATATGAAAAGAAATTCCATGTTTATGGATAATATGTCCAAGGGGAAGCAGATACAAGGAAAAGAAAATGGGTCCTAAGACCGACCCCTGAGGCACACCATATTTAACTGGACAGAACGAAGAGACATAGTTGTTTACAGACACGCAAAACTTCCTATTTGACAGGTAGGATGAAAACCATTCTAGGGCAGTACCAGAGATCCCCACCCAGTGCCTCAGTTTGTCTAACAAGATGTTGTGATCAGTGGTGTCAAAAGCAGCGCTAAGGTCCAGGAGTACCAGGACTGAGCACATGCCTTCATCAGCAGACATTAAAAGGTCATTGGTGACTTTAAGCAGGGCAGTCTCAGTGCTGTGGTACTTCCTGAAACCAGACTGAAACTTTTCAAATATTTTGTTATTTTCCAGTACAGTGAGCAGCTGTTTGGACACAATTCTTTCTAGAATCTTTGCAATAAAAGGCAGTTTTGAAATTGGTCTAAAATTATGTTGGAGGGAGGGATCTAAACCCGGTTTCTTTAAAAGTGTGTTCACGCAAGCTGTTTTAAAATAATCAGGGACACAACCAGTAGATAGGGAGCTGTTGAAAACAGAGATCAAATGGGACCCAACAGAATCCATTACTTTCAGTAAAAACTTTGTAGGTATTACATCAAGTGGGCTGGAGGACACTCTCATTTGTGATACTGTTTTTAAAAGCTCAGACAAGTCGATGGGATAAAACTGGTTAAAACTGAGTAAGAGGCCGTGGGGGTAATAGAGGCTCTGATTGACACCACCTTATTGATAAAATAAGATAAAAACAATTCACAGTCATCATTACTTCCAGCTGAGGCACAAGGAGGGGTTGGGTTTACCAGCTGATCCACAGTCTTAAACAGAAACCTGGGATTGTGTTTATGTGTAGTAATGAGTTCAGAAAAATAGTGTGTTCTCGCATCCTTAACCAAGTTATTGTATTTAATTAATAAATCCTTCAGACTGAGGTAATGGACTTGGAGACTGGATTTTTTTCCATCTGCGCTCTGCTTTCCTGCATTCCCTTTTGAGGCTGCGAATGCTGTCATTTATCCAGGGTTGCTTACTAGCTTTAGACGTAGGCCTAACCTTTAGAGGAGCGGTAATATTTAGTGACGACTAGCAGATATGATTGAAGTGATCGACCAGATTGTTGGTGTTGGAATCAGACAGGTGTTGGCTTTGGCTCTGAAAGAATGCGCAAAACTTTGAAACACTTTGTTCATTAAAGATGCGAAAACACACGGAGCTTGGTGAGGCGGCATGAGTAACATAATGATGGTTCTCTGAAATAAGAGACAGTGATTTGCAGGCTTCAGTCAGACTGATCTCAGAGCTGTGACAAAGATGAACTGATCAATAGTTTAGTGATGAAATGAGAGAACAAACACTTTGAGATCAGATTTGATGGTATGACAGTTTGATGAATGAGGACCACTGTCTCTATACATCTTGTGATGCTGTCAGCTGGAATCCAGCTTTATTTCCTGGAGACATGAACACAACAACAACAGTCGTCTTCACATCAACTCAAACACATGATCACTGCCTGTTCTCTCTCTCTCTGTCTGTCTTTCTGTCCAATCCTGAAGCCTGTCACCATTCTCCTCTCACAGCTTCACTGAGGAAAGCAGCCGCTGAGAAGGTTGGAGGTTTACAGGAAATACTGGATTCCTGCTTTGATACTAACTGTGTTTAGTACAATACTGCTTAAACCAGCATGGACTGACTCCAACCCTCTACTGACCTCAGAGTCTCCAGTCTGCAGTGTGGACTCTCCACAAGATCAGACAGCGGCTTCACTCCTGAATCATGCAGTAAGTTGTCTCTCAGGTCCAGCTCTCTCAGATGGGAGTGGTTGGACTTCAGAGCTGAGGCCAGAGAAGCACAGCTGATGGTTGACAACCTGCAGACCCTCAATCTGAATAAAGAATAAAAGATGTAAATGTGAACAAAAGACATCTACAATACTTCTTTTAGGAATAATGGAGTCATCATTTCAAAGCTTCTTCTCTTTAAACTATTCAGTCAGTATAAGCATCATATAGCTTCATAACAATTTTGGAAAATCAAATACTGAATATATTTGTTATTGTCTGATAGTTGAAATATAGATTTATTTATTCATTGTGTTTATGTATTTTATTATCATTTATTTAAAACATGATGAGGAATATAAGCTGAAAATCAGGAGTTTAAGAGGTTCAGAGTGAATTATCCAGAGGAGATGTTTCTTGTTATATTAAGGTTTTAAATGTGGAGCTCAACATTGCTCTGCCACAGTCAATGGACTAAACCACTGAAGAAGAAAAGAGACTTTAATCCTCAGTGTGGATCAGTATAACATCAGCCTTATGTCTGCACTTTAGTGTCACCACAACTTTTCACATCATATTAATCTCAGCACAGAAGGAAAAAATGGTGTCTGACCTCAAAAGTCTCCAGACTGCAGTGTGGACTCTCCAGAAAACCAGACAGCAGCTTCACTCCTGAATCCTGCAGCTCGTTTCCACTCAGGTCCAGCTCTCTCAGATGGGAGGGGTTGGACTTCAGAGCTGAGGCCAGAGAAGCACAGCTGATCTCTGACAATCTGCAGCCCCTCAATCTGAATAAAAATTAAATTATGTAATGTTAGAAGACAATGTTCCGGCTTAAAATCCTTCAGTGTTTAATAATCTGTTCAGAGCTGAAGAAGGTTTAGAATGTAGAAGTTTAGAAAAGGGAAATATTTGTTATTGCCTGATAGTTGAAATAGAGATTATTTATTTATTCATTGTATTTATCTATTTTATTATAATTTCTTGAAAAACATGATGTGGAATATAATATGATAATCAGGAAGAGCTTTACGTCTGTTTGTTTTATTATTTAAGTCTGTGGATGAAACGTTAAGTCAGCTGTGAGATTGCCGGCTGATGATTGGTTCTGACGGATCCTTCTGCTTGCAGATGTGTTAACTTGCTGTTCGAGGCCCCGCTGGGTTTCAGTGCTCAGTCAGCCTCGTGGTGTCTGTTAGTTCCTGGCGGTGACGATTTTCCTTGATCCGTCGGCCTCGTAGCATTAAATTGAGTCACATTTTGTACTCTGTTCTACACAAGTGTATCGTGTTAAGCTGTTCTCACTACGAGCTTTTGTCATCCTTAACTACTACCGACTTGAGTGATCTGTTAGTTGCTGGCTCAGTTTTGAAGAGTGTAATTATCTAGAGCAGTCATTGGCAAAAGGCGGCTGGCCCCAGCAATAATCTCTGGCCCGCTGCCACATGACTTTGATAGCGGCAAAAGAAAAAAGTGGTTTCTGCTGAAGTAGATCTCAGTCATGACAGCAGCAGTTACTCACATAATCAGTTCCTCTAAAGGGATTATGCCTACAAAATAAAAGCACAAGCATATTTTCCCAGCAATGCTTAATGTCGCGTTTCATTGAGAGCTTTTACATTGAAAAGTTCTGAAGGACAGTGCAAAGAGTCTCTGACCTGCTTGACACGCCTGTCAAAAAGCCGTCAGGAAACTGAGATATATTTCCCTGAATGAGAAGTGCAGGAAGTTCCTCTGCCTAGAGATGATGGCGCAATGAAAATAGGCATTTATAGGTTGATGGATGCGGATCAAACGCCAGGATGCACACACTCCAGCACATGCTTAATTGTGAGCATGTGAACCAGTGTCATAATCAAAAAAAATATTCACGGTATGTGGGGATCAAACACACACCCTTCCCAAAAGGAGTCCTGCACACCACTGACTGAGCTAACCAGGCGCACATAATTCTGAGGATTTTAAATAATCATTTCACTGTTTTTTGGCCCGCCATCTAACAGCTTGAAAAAAATTTGGTCCGAATGATCCAGTGGAGATGTTTCTTGTTATATTAAGGTTTGAAATGTGGAGCTCAACATTGCTCTGCCACAGCCAATGGACTAAACCACTGAAGAAGAAAATAGACTTTAGCATTAAGATCCTCAGTTTGGATCAGTATAATATCAGTCTTATGTCTGCACTTTAGTGTCACCACAACATTCACATCATAATAATCTCAGCACAGAAGGAAAAAATGGTGTCTGACCCCAGAGTCTCCAGTCTGCAGTGTGGACTCTCCAGAAAACCACACAGCAGCTTCACTCCTGAATCCTGCAGCTCGTTTCCACTCAGGTCCAGCTCTCTCAGATGGGAGGGGTTGGACTTCAGAGCTGAGGCCAGAGAAGCACAGCTGATCTCTGACAAACTGCAGCCCCTCAATCTGAATAAAGAATAAATGATGTAACGTTAGAAGACAATGTTCCTGCTTGAAATCATTCAGTGTTTAATAATCTGTTCAGAGCTGAAGAAGGTTTAGAAAAGGGCTGCATGATTTTGAGAAATATTCATATTGCAATTATTGTGAACAATACTGCAATTTGCCATTTGATTATATTATAACAAATGGTACTATGAGTCTACTTACTTAATTATCAAGGAATGCGCTAAATGATGACATTTTGAAATGTGTATTTCTCAACTTAAAGCAAAGTTAAATAATATTTATAACAATACCTGGTAAAACAGATGTAAAACAGAACAAGGGGAGCGTGTTACTCTACAGAGGAGGCAGCTAGAAGCGGCACATATTGGCACACTGGCACCGGCTCAATGTACATCTGTCTAAAGTAGAGTCTCTATCCACAACCTGGAGGAGGAACTGTACACGAGTGTATTAAATAAAGAGTATAATGTTTAGTTAATAGTATACTGTTAGTATAACAATAATATACTACATTCATTATAATTTCATATAATAGTATAATATTTTACCACTAGTTGAATGTTAAATCCAGTTACACCTGTTTCATTTCTGTGGGTTGTTTTTATTCATTAAATCCTTGTTCAAGCAAAATGCTCTACATTGGTCTCTAATGTGTTAATACTAAGTCCTAACTTGTCAATAATCATATTGTTCAACATTTAATGATTTGCTGTAGCACATCAAACAAGCACGTTGGCTCTGTGAAAAGTTAAACACGTTGAACAACTAAATGCACCGATACAGTGAACGTTAAATGGCCAACGAGCCAAACTCAAACCTTTGTTATCTTCTCCCAGTTTGCTTTTGTCTTACTGCTTTAGCTGCTGACAACATCTCTCTGTCTTTGTCACACTGCGTTTGGCACACGGCATTTCTCTCGGTGTATGGTGGTGCGCCTGACTTTGTATTGAACGATTAGCGGCGGGGGGTTACGGTAGGTTGTTGTCTTAAAAGTTACTGGCACACTGCTCATAAAATGTTTTTCTCATTGCACGTAGGCTTTTCTGTTTTTTAGGGGTACATGCGAGAGTCCGTGTGGGCGGATATAATGAGCAGACTGCAGCGCACACAGAGAGGAGAGCCTCACATACATTTTTGCGTTTGAGATTAGATTAATCATGCAGCCCTAGTTTAAAATGTAGAAGTTGTGCCTGATAGTTGAAACAGAGATTATTTATTTATTCATTGTGTTTATGTCACGTTCGAGGGTGGGCAAAGCAGGAGAGAGCCCAAATGCATGACACTGGAGAGCTGACATACAGTTCAGGGGATTTTAATCTACACAGAGACTAAAGCAGAATGTTAAAAAATCATATTAACTAATGAAACTGGTAGAGAACATAAATTGACACATAGTAAACAGACAGAACCCAAGCATGATGGTACAGAACTAACACATGAGAGACAGGAACAGAACAAATACTAAGGCAGACCAGAACCACCACACAGAACAAGCAGAAGACAGAAACACATAGACCAGCTCCACAAGACATAAACAGACAGGACCAAATCTAAATGCAAACACATACACCAAGAAGACTGGATACAAGACCACAGACAGGACTGAAACCAAAATCAAAACACGGAGAAGGCATGGGTCCAAAATCATATAACCCAGACAACCTCAGAACTGGATTGTGACAGTTTACCTATTTTTATTATCATTTCTTTAAAAACATGATGTGGAATATAAGATGATAATCGGGAAGAGCGTTACGTCTGTTTGTTTTATTATTTCTAAGTCTGTGGATGAAACGTTAAGTCAGCTGTGAGATTGCCGGCCGATGATTGGTTCTGACAGATCCTTCTACTTGCAGACTGCATCAATACGGACTGTTCTTAAATAGCATGTTAGCTTGCTGCTCGAGGCCCCGCTGGGTTTCAGTGCTCAGTCGGCCTCGTGGTGTCTGTTATTTTCTGGCGGTGGTGAGTTTCCTTGATCCGTCGGCCTCGTTGCATTAAATTAAGTTACATTTTGAATACAAGTGAGTTTTAAGATGGGATTTAAAACATTCGAGGGTCGCGGCCAATTTGACCTGTGTACTAACTGTAAGCGTGAGAGTGAGGTTTGGTTAACGCCAATGTAAAGTGCATTACAGTAGTCCAGACGAGTTGAGATAAAAGCATGAATCACATGCTCAAAGTGCTTACAAGATAAAACAGGTTTGATTTTAGATACCACATTACTTTGATAGCGGCAAACAGGGATGTACTGGGACTGAAATTCAGTCCAGGACTTTGAGATGGAGAGGCGTTTATGCGAGCGCCCTTTTGGGGGGGGCGGGCAGAAATATTTTTTGCAGTTATTTTAATACATATTAGTGTTTTTGTTGTATACAGTGAATCAGATTATGCTGAATACCTTCAAGAAACTTATGACACCTGCCTTCTCAGTTTGCATAAGCAATGCAACTCTGCACTGAACAAGACCAGGTCAGGCAAGCCTGAGACAGAGAGTGCTAAAATACTTAAATATACTCGAAAACTACATGCATGCATTCCCATAAAATACAGCAGTGTGTTTTTGTGTGCATAAAAATCAAATCCCTCATCTTAATCTCTGAGTAGGCCTCTCCCTGGCTCAGCTTCCCCTGTGCAGGACCCTGACTCTGCTTGAACTGATTGTACAGCTACATATGCATGAGAAGAACATCAGTAATAAATATGACTAACAATAATACATTCTCTAATTCCAGAGGTGGGACTAAGTCACATATGTCTGAGTCACAAGCAAGTCTCAAGTCTTAACCTTCAAGTCTCAAGCAAGTCCCAAGTCACTGTGATGAAAGTCAAGTCATATGAAATTCTTAGGAAAAACTGTTTAAGAGAGGTGTATGATCAGTTTTGAAGATGTAGTGAGTTTTTCTGTTCTAACTATATTGAACTATACACAAGTGTTTCCAATATTTAGTCTACTATTAGCTTCACTGATTATTGAAATGGGGTAGAAAAATAGTAGAGTAATAGAAACACGTGTCAGTAAGGGTAAGCCCTTACCATTCCTGTAAAATTTGTTTGTAAACATTTGTAAACTAGGCTATATTTAATATATTTTTCGTTTCCCCTTGAAAAAAGTTTGCTAACAAATGCATAATGCAGACAACTAGAGCTGGGATTTATTAGCTGGAAAACACTGTGGGGTCACAGCATAAAGCCTTACCTGGTCCAATTTAAAATTTTATACCAATAATACCTTGAAATATTTACACAAGATTTTCCAAGGGTATGTCTAAGCGTATTTTTTTCTAAAACAGCACTAGCCCTTCGGTGTAAGCAGCTGCTACTGCTTCACGCCGTAGATTGACGCAGATGTGTTTTTTTGCTGGTAGATCATGAACCTCCTACTTAAATAATAATATAATAATAATAATCCTTATTTGTAGAGCACTTTTCAAAAACAACTTACAAAGTGCTTTAACAAGTGTAAAGAATAATACAAAAAAACAAGATAAGAGCATGAAAACACTGAAAAGACTAAAATACAGATTAATATAAAATTAGTAAAATACAATAAAATAAAAGGGTTAAAATAAAGTCAAATAAGATCGGGAAAGGCTTTCCTATAAAAGTATGTTTTAAAAAGGGACTTAAAAGAGTTCACTGACTCAGCCGACCTGATTTCCTCGGGCAGGCTGTTCCAGAGCCTCGGGGCCCTGACAGCAAACGCTCTGCCCCTTTAGTTTTCAGTCGAGACTCTGGAACAGACAACAGACCTCTGCCCGAGGATCTCAAGGTACGTGTTGGTGTGTATGGGACTAAAAGGTCAGAAATATAACAAGGCGAGAGGCCATGAAGAGCTTTAAAAGTGATCAATAAAATTTTAAAGTCAATTCTAAAACATACTGGGAGCCAGTGTAGTGAAGCTAAAATAGGAGTAATGTGGTCATATTTCTTTGTTCTGGTTAAAAGCCTGGCAGCTGAGTTCTGAACAGTCTGGAGTCGATCAATATATTTTGGGGTTAAATAGGTGAAAAGGCTGTTGCAATAATCCAGGCGTGATGAGATGAAGGCGTGTAAAATGGTCTCGGTGTCCTTAAAAGTTAACATAGATCGAATTTTTGCTATATTTCTAAGTTGATAAAAACATGATTGAACAAGCTTTGTGGTGTGCTGCTCGAAATTTAAATTACTATCAAACCAAACACCAAGGTTCTTTGCCACAGGCTTCATGTGATTTACTAGGGAACCAGCAGATGGCAGTATTTGATTTGCCATCTGCTGAGACCCAATGACCAGGATTTCTGTTTTGTCTGAGTTCAGCTGGAGGAAATTATTTGACATCCATTTTTTAACTTCACAAAGGCAGTTGTTAAGTGAACTCAGCATTCCAGGCTCTGTGGATCTGACGGGCAAGTATATTTGTGTGTCATCAGCATAAATATGAAAAGAAATTCCATGTTTATGGATATGTCCAAGGGGAAGCAGATACAAGGAAAACAAAATGGGTCCTAAGACCGACCCCTGAGGCACACCATATTTAACTGGACAGAATGAGGAGACATGAAATGAAATGTTCCAGTCTCTGCAATAGGATCTGATGGTCAATGGTATCAAACGCAGCACTAAGATCTAATAAAACCATTACAGAGACAAGTCCTTTGTCTGATGCAATCGTTTTCACCAGTGCTGTCTCTGTGCTATGATGAGCTCTAAATCCTGACTGAAAATCCTCAAATGAACTATTTCTCTGTAGAAAGTCACACAGCTGTTTAGCAACTGCTTTCTCCAGAACCTTAGAGAGAAATGGAAGGTTAGATATAGGTCTATAGTTGGCTAAAACATCCAGATCAAGTTTGGGCTTTTTCAGAAGAGGTTTAATTACAGCTACTTTAAAGTACTGTGGTACATAGCCTGTAGATAAAGATAGATTGATCATATCTAGTATAGAAGTGCTGACTAAGGGTAAAACATCTTTAAGCAACCTAGTCAGGATGGGGTCTAAGAGGCAGGTTGATGGTTTAGATGAAGAAATTATTGAAGTTAGTTGGTAAAGATTGAGTGAAGCAAAGCAGTCTAAACATATATCTGGTACTATAAATATCTTGTACCCCCCTCCATATTAAAAGTATTGGTTTGGCCCAGTCAGACACACAGGCAGCGTTCACTGCATCTGACCGGCCGGCGCGGTCGCGGATCGTAAAGTAAAACATTAGAAACTGAAAAATAAAAAGTCCTGACCCCCGGCCGGTTTGGCCTGAAATGGACCAGAGAGTCAGGAACAATCCCGAACGACACAATGGCCAATCCGCCACAGGCGGCAAAAGAAAAAAGCGGTAGATCTCAGTCATGACAGCAGCAGTTACTCACATAATCCGTTCCTCTAAAGGGATTATGCCTACAAAATAAAAGCGCAAGCATGTTTTTCGTAGCAATGCTTAATGTAGCGTTTCATTGAGAGCTTTTATATTAAGGACATTCCAGTGTCTCTGGCTTGCTTGACACACCTCTCAAAAAGCCTGGAGACTGGATACCCTGAATGAGAAGTGCAGGAAGTTCCTCTGTCTGGAGATGCTGGCGAGATGAAAATAGGCATCTATTGGTTGATGGATGCGGATCAAACGCCAGAACGCAAACGCTCCAGCACATGCTTAATTGTGAACATGTGAACCGGTCTCAATCAATTTGTTTAACAAGAAGGAAAAAAATATTGACAGTATGTGGGGATTGAACACACACACTTCCAAATAGGAGTCCTGCACACCACAGACTGAGCTAACCAGGCGCACGTAATTCTGAGGATTTTAAATGATCATTTCACTGTTTTCTGGCCCGCCATCTAACAGCTTGAAAGAAATTTGGTCCGATGCCAGACTTTTTAGCCGACCCCTGATATGAAGTGTTTGTTCTTTTTTAATTCTACCTGTGGGACGGGGCCAAGGTTTAGTTTCACTACTGACCCCTTTGTGTTGTCTTAGTATTCCCCATTTAGCCTCTCTAGGTTTATGGCTGCTGCTCTCTTTGTGTTTTGGCTTTTAAAACCATTTGGAGCTGAAGAGAGAACTTCTTTTGTTTCACTTTATTTTCTGTAGCTTGATAACTGTCTCTCTTAGTGGAGACCTCTTTCTGTTCTGTTGTTTTTATAGTTTAAGCAGAACCCAGAAGGCCCTGTGGTTCTACATTTGTGTTAAACTCTCACTTTCCAATTAAACACCTTTTCACCAAAAACATCCAGTTTATGCTGCTTTCTTTACCCATCGAGCCGGGACGTAACAAAGAGGTTCAGAGTGAATTATCCAGTGGAGATGTTTCTTGTTATATTAAGCTTTTAAATGTGGAGCTCAACATTGCTCTGCCACAGTCAATGGACTAAACCACTGAAGAAGAAAAGAGAGTTTAGCATTAAGATCCTCAGTGTGGATCAGTATAATATCAGCCTTATGTCTGCACTTTAGTGTCACCACAACTTTCACATCATATTAATCTCAACACAGAAGGAAAAAATGGTGTCTGACCCCAGAGTCTCCAGTCTGCAGTGTGGACTCTCCAGAAAATCTGACAGCAGCAGCACATCTGGATCCTGCAGGCTGTTCCTGCTCAGCTCCAGCTCTCTCAGATGGGAGGGGTTGGACTTCAGAGCTGAGGCCAGAGAAGCACAGCTGATCTCTGACAAACTGCAGTCCTCCAATCTGAATAAAGAATAAATTATGTAACGTTGAAGACAATGTTCCTGCTTAAAATCATTCAGTGTTTAATAATCTGTTCAGAGCTGAAGAATGTTTAGAATGTATAATATATTTATGTATTTTATTATAATTTCTTTAAAAACATGATGTGGAATAGAAGCCGATAATCAGGAAGAGCGTTACATCTGTTTGTTTTATTATTTTTAAGTCTGTGGATGAAACGTTAAGTCAGCTTGCCAGCTTGTCAGTCAGATTGCCAGCTGATGATTGGTTCTGACGGATCCTTCTACTTGCAGACTGCATCAACACGGACTGTTCTTAAATAGCGTGTTAGCTAGCTGCTCAAGGCCCCGCTGGGTTTCAGTGCTCAGTCGGCCTTGTTGTGTTGTGTAAGTTGGCGATAAGTCTGTGTCATGGTGTCATTTAGTTCCTGGCGGCGGTGATTTTCCTTGATCAGTCTGCCTCGTTGCATTAAATTAAGATACATTTTGTACTCTGTTTTCTAGGGGTGGGAAGTTCGATACTTTTTACTGACTCAGAGCTTCAAAGTCTTGATCAGGAAAATTAACAAATCTTTTATTCAAGTCATTCATTAATTTTGTTAATGTTAACTAGTCAGTGCGACGCTGTATCTCCTTGTGGGCGATATAAAAAATAGCGTGGTTCTGAAGCACTGAAGGCTTCATGGTTTGCTTCAGTTGACAAAGTATAATACACAAATTCACATTATTATTCATTCTCTATCATCATTCTATAAAACCCTGGTGCAACTACCAATTTAAAACATTGAAAACCAAGGAGGTGCAGAGACACACCTCAATTAAGTGACCTGTGAGCTTTCCACACTCAGCTTCTCTTCTTCTCCAGCATTGACTGTCTGCCAAATGATCGAAAGACTCAGATCTGAAGACCCAGATTTATGAGTCGTTAACAGATAATTTCTGTTTCCTGTACTGACTGAGCCAATGTAGCTGCCATGTGACGAATGAACATCAGAGTCCAAGACCATTCATGCATGGGTGAAAATGGACGTATCTCTCATTGAGACAGCTCGTTACTCCCTAGTCCTTTAGAAGATTAGTTCAAAATGAAAAAATCATTCATGGACAAAACAGCACTACTGTTCTCCCTCCGAGCTTTTGTCATCCTGAACTACTACAGACTTGAGTGATCTGTTAGCTGCTGGCTCAGTATTGAAGTGTGTAATTATCTAGAGCAGTGGTCGGAAAAATGCGGCTGGCCCCAGCAATAACATCTGGACCGCTGCCACGTTACTTTGACAGCGGCAAAAGAAAAAAGCGGCTGCTGCTGAAGTAGATCTCAGTCATGACAGCAGCAGTTACTCACATAATCGCTTCCTCTAAAGGGATTATGCCTACAAAATAAAAGCACAAGCATGTTTTTCGCAGCAGTGCTTAATGTCACGTTTCATTGAGAGCTTTTACATTGAAAAGTTCTGTAGGACATTCAAAGAGTCTCTGGCCTCCTTGACACGCCTCTCAAAAAGCCGTCAGGAAACTGAGATTGGATACCCTGAATGAGAAGTGCAGGAAGTTCCTCTGCCTGGAGATGCTGGCGAGATGAAAATAGGCTTCTATTTTGTATAGACTTTGCCCTCTAAGGCTATCGCTATTGGGTTTACCCCTTCCGATCGCCTGCGTGGCACTGAGAATTTTAGTCTACGCCCACCCAGAGCATGGGCCTCTCCTACGTCCGCACCTTGTATATATACAATGGTGAGACCAAGCCTTCGGCTCCCTATTTTCTTCAGCACTGAGCTTGAAGTCTAAAGAGCATAGAAGACAGAAGAGAAGAGGAAGGAAAAGAGTAATCTGCCGCAGCGAGAAGAACGATGTCTTCCTACCTGCTGGCTAGAGCGGGGCGAGGCAATGCCACTTCAATCCGGCTGTGCGAGGTCTGCAAGACGGGCTTCATCCTGCCGGGGGATCTCCATCCCCGACGTGAGGCTTGCCTCGGCCCGGCATATGCCGGGTGGGCACTCACCTCCGAGTCACGCTGCCTGTACTGCGCTCTCCTCTCCTCCAAAGAGCATCAACGGCGGGCGGATAACTTCACCATCTTCAACGAGGAAGTGTGCCAGCCCACACACTCGCTGGACGAAGTGATGGGGATGCTGTTGCTGATGGAGCAGGAGTCGGACGAATCCACCCTCTCCCCCCACGGGTCCCCCAGTCGCTCCCCTCTCCCCCCGTTCCAACCTTCAGAGAACATCGACCAGGAATCTGGCCTTCATGAGGGCAATCCCAGCCTCGAGGGGGCTCCCGCTGGCTATGTTTCCATCCCGCAGTCCGCCGCCACCTCTCTGCCATCCATTGGCGGCCTCGTCAGAGAGCTCCCCGCCTTCATACAGCGTGCCTCTGCCTGCTGCCACCTGCTCTTTCCCTTGGCCCAAGAGTTTGCCCCACCGGATGAAATGGCTGGTGTTCTCGCCCTTAGCCAGCCGGCTAAGCGATATCGGGTCGGGCCGCGCTTTCCCCCGATTAAGTGGTATCAAGAGGGCGCTGCCATGGACCCGAAGGTTCTCTGGGTCCCGGTCTCCACCTACGTTCCCATCACGAAGGTGGAGGGGTTCTCGGATCTGGGGTTTCCCCCAGTCCCCCCCCTGGAACCTTCCCTCACCACCTTCTTCGGGGTTAAGCCAGTCCAGGTGGCGCCCGGACAGCACCCCATCCTGGCCTCCCAGGCAGCTCATTGGTTGGGCCGCATTGCCCAGAACCCACCAATGCGCCTTCCAGAACTCCGCTTCCGCCAACGTCGCCCTCATCGCGTCCTCCTTCACCAAGCTGGCGGCTAACTCCACCACCACGTCACCGCTGCCCGGATGGCCGTCTGGCAGACCTAGACCCATCGGATCCTGTGACTTCAGCAGTCCACCGTCCCAAAAGCTACGAGGAAAGAGCTGGTTGAGGCCCCGGTGAGCCCGGACGGGCTTTTCAGGCCTCAGTTCCGGTCCTTCGTGAAAACCGCAAGGTCCGCGGCTCAGGAGAGCATCAGGCAGCATGTGGGATGGACTCGTCTTCCTTCTCGCCCTCCCCGCCCCCCGGCTCATTGGCGGGACCGACGCGACCAGCAGGGAGACCGCCACCGCCACGGCCGGCCCGAGGCTGCTGCGGCTTCAACTCCCTATGCTGTCCCCCGTCCCTCTCCACCGGCGGCTGCCCCACCGGCGCAGCACCGCGCTCCCAAGGCTCCAGCTCTGGCTGCTCATGGTCCACCCTGCGCAGCCTCGCCGCCCTGGGAAGCGCCAATGACATTTTTGGGGGGGGGAAATATGTGTTTCCTGTGCCTGTTCAGTTTGCACTGTTGTTTGAAACCCCAGCTGTTTTAAAATAAAACACAAACAGAGCCCTAAAGAGCTTTTTCCTGGGCCCGCCGCTGTCTCTGCTGAGTCAGCGGTCGCCCTCTCACACATTTCCTCCGCATCACACAGACCGACTGCAGACGGCCATGCGGCCTTCACGCAGCTGATGAGAGATCTTCTTTTGTTTCACTTTATTTTCTGTAGCTTGATAACATTGATAAGTCTCTCTTAGTGGAGACCTCTTTCTGTTCTGTTGTTTTTATAGTTTAAGCAGAACCCAGAAGGCCCTTTACTGTGGTTCTACATTTGTGTTAAACTCTAACTTTCCAATTAAACACCTTTTCACCAAAAACATCCAGTTTATGTTGCTTTCTTTACCTATCGAGCCGGGACGTAACAAAGAGGTTCAGGGTGAATTATCCAGTGGAGATGTCTCTGGTTATATTGAGCTTTTAAATGTGGAGCTCAACATTGCTCTGCCACAGTCAATGGACTAAACCACTGAAGAAGAAAAGAGACTTTAATCTTCAGTGTGGATCAGTATAACATCAGCCTTATGTCTGCACTTTAGTGTCACCACAACTTTCACATCATATTAATCTCAACACAGAAGGAAAAAATGGTGTCTGACCTCAGAGTCTCCAGTCTGCAGTGTGGACTCTCCAGAAAATCTGACAGCAGCAGCACATCTGAATCCTGCAGCTTCTTGTTTCCACTCAGGTCCAGCTCTCTCAGATGGGAGGGGTTGGACTTCAGAGCTGAGGCCAGACAAGCACAGCTGATCTCTGACAAACTGCAGCCCCTCAATCTGAATAAAGAATAAATTGTGTAACGTTGAAGACAATGTTCCTGCTTGAAATCATTCAGTGTTTCATAATCTGTTCAGAGCTGAAGAATGTTTAGAATGTATACGTTTAGAAAATGGAAATATTTGTTATTGTCTGATAGTTGAAATAGAGATTATTTATTTATTCATTGTATTTATGGATTTTTATGATCATTTATTTAAAAACGTGATGTGGAATATAAGATGAAAATTAGGAAGAGGCAAAAATGGTGTCTGACCTCAAAGTCTCCAGTCTACAGTGTGGACTCTCCAGAAAATCTGACAGCAGCAGCACATCTGGATCCTGCAGCTTGTTGTTGTCACTCAGGTCCAGCTCTCTCAGATGGGAGGGGTTGGACTTCAGAGCTGAGGCCAGACAAGCACAGCTGATCTCTGACAAACTGCAGCCCCTCAATCTGAATAAAGAATAAATTATGTAACGTTAGAAGACAATGTTCCTGCTTGAAATCATTCAGTGTTTAATAATCTGTTCAGAGCTGAAGAAGATTTAGAATGTAGAAGTTTAGAAAATGGAAATATTTGTTATTGTCTGATAGTTGAAATAGAGATTATTTATTTATTCATTGTATTTATAGATTTTTATTATCATTTATTTAAAAACGTGATGTGGAATATAAGATGAAAATTAGGAAGAGGAAAAAATGGTGTCTGACCTCAGAGTCTCCAGTCTACAGTGTGGACTCTCCAGAAAATCTGACAGCAGCAGCACATCTGGATCCTGCAGCTTGTTGTCACTCAGGTCCAGCTCTCTCAGATTGGAGGGGTTGGACTTCAGAGCTGAGGCCAGAGAAGCACAGCTGATCTCTGACAAACTGCAGTCCTCCAATCTGAATAAAAGATGGAGATAGTGTATTTCTGTATTTTTTTCTTTCCTACCCACTTCCCCTGTCACCTTAGTTGCTGTTCTCCAGCAGTCCGATGCTTTCTGAGGTTTCTCTTTCCATTCCAGACCATGATACTCCCATCTGTCCACCTGCACCTCATTCTCTCATCAGTTGCTCATGTATATGTTCAGTATCTACAGGCCCCAATCCATTGCTCCTCATCCTGTTTATCACAACTGACATGAAATTCATGCCTTTTCTTCCATCTGAGAACCTGAACCTGCCTGTCTTGATTCTCTACCTGATCTTTTGGATTTCCTTTCAAATGAGCTTTTCCCTAAAATGAGTAGAGTGACTTTGTCATTGTGTTATTGTGGATCATGAGTCGGCCTTCTACAGACATCATTCAGTATCTTTTCTCTGTCTTTCACCACATCGATTCATTCATCTCCTGCTTTCCCAGCTCTATCTCTCCCTCCAAACACATTGGAAACGGACATGAGAGTCCACAACAAAATCTAGGATATTAAAAACACTCTGGCGAGGGAACATTTCATCTCTGCGTACACAGATTCAGTCTGTGGTACCACACAGCAGGCACCTGCACACATAGACATAAACATTATGTTTAACTATGCAAATCAATTTGTTTTGGTTAATTTAGAAGAAATCTACAGATGCAACCAGACGGAGGGTAGTTGTTTAAAACAAACATAATCTAAATGTGTATTTTGGAAGTTTTCTTTCCATGAAAAGAAAGCAAAATAGATCAAAATTTCAAAATTGACAACTATATGAAAAAAGAGTCCTGCCTTAAACAGTAACTTCATAATTTTGATTGTCGGCTCCTCATCTATCCATTCTATCAGTTTGTTTTAGGCTGATAGATCTTCACATGGAACAGACAGCCCTCTCTGTGGTAAGTGTAATTATAATGGCAATAATAATCACAATGTATTTCATCAATACATTAATGTATTCAGGCAACTCAGTATTTTGATGCTTGGCAGTGTGAAGCTGAAGGTAAGCTGCAGCACAATGCCACAGTTTAGTGGGAAGGTTTTCTGTTGAGTTTGAGGGGTTATGTATTCCAATAACACCAAAAGAATTCAAAGGATTTATTGCATTGTGCAAAATAAAGAAATAATTAGTGCAACTATATGTCCCTCTCCTTGGGGCAGTTTTAAATTAGTAGCATAGAAAACATTCGTATTGTGGCATAGTTTACTTTGCTGTTGTCTTCTCTTGTGATAAACCTAGTGAATACTTAAAGCCATGGTCTCTGTGTGAACAGATTATTTTGTAAAAAAAAATGTGAAATAATAAATAAAAGTATGAAATAATAGCTTGAGTGTGAAGGAATTTAAATAAATTGGTAAGGAAATCAGAGTTGTGTTAATACATTTAACATTTTGTTTTAAAAATATAAATGAATCAATATTTGTGAGTGCCCTTTTTTTTCACTTGAGCCCCTGCCCACCAAAATGTCTGTGCATGTCCCTGCCACAAGGAGCCAGTCAAGCCACTAAGTGACCTTTGCGGTGGCATTGGGCCCCGTGGCCAGCAGAGCACCCCCTACAGTCACTGCTTGCTAGTGCTGGAAAAAATTCACTGAAAAAAGAAACGTAATAAAATAAAATGAAAGACAGCTCTCTATATTACGCACGATGAGCATAGGGATTATTTAATTTAGTTAGCCTATATACTATGGAAATTCAGCTGCCCTCATTGCTCAGCTCGCTCGGACCTCCCCGAGACTAGTTATGCTGATTCAGTCAGGTTGATGTCTGACAAGTGAAGATCATATTTGTCTGGACGTGTAAACAGAAAACAAGAGCCTCGAAGAAGAGAGGAGGCAAGAAAATAAAAGTAAGTCAACAGGCTCAGTTTAAAAATTGGTATAGCATTAGTATTATACCATACCAGATAGGCCAGGTTTGAACATGGTCATGTCACCCAAGAAGATGAAACTACTGATAGGTTATGTGTTTTAGTTATACCTACAGTGAGGAAAATAAGTATTTGAACACCCTGCTATTTTGCAAGTTCTCCCACTTAGAAATCATGGAGGGGTCTGAAATTTTCATCGTAGGTGCATGTCCACTGTGAGAGACATAATCTAAAAAAAAAAAATCCAGAAATCACAATGTATGATTTTTTTTAACTATTTCTTTTTTTATGATACAGCTGCAAATAAGTATTTGAACACCTGTCTATCAGCTAGAATTCTGAATCTCAAAGACCTGTTAGTCTGCCTTCAAAATGTCCACCTCCACTCCATTTATTATCCTACATTAGATGCACCTGTTTGAGGTCGTTAGCTGCATAAAGACACCTGTCCACCCCATACAATCAGTAAGAATCCAACTACTAACATGGCCAAGACCAAAGAGCTGTCCAAAGACACTAGAGACAAAATTGTACACCTCCACAAGGCTGGAAAGGGCTACGGGGAAATTGCCAAGCAGCTTGGTGAAAAAAGGTCCACTGTTGGAGCAATCATTAGAAAATGGAAGAAGCTAAACATGACTGTCAATCTCCCTCGGACTGGGGCTCCATGCAAGATCTCACCTCGTGGGGTCTCAATGATCCTAAGAAAGGTGAGAAATCAGCCCAGAACTACACGGGAGGAGCTGGTCAATGACCTGAAAAGAGCTGGGACCACCGTTTCCAAGGTTACTGTTGGTAATACACTAAGACGTCATGGTTTGAAATCACGCATGGCACGGAAGGTTCCCCCGCTTAAACCAGCACATGTCAAGGCCCGTCTTCAGTTTGCCAATGACCATTTGGATGATCCAGAGGAGTCATGGGAGAAAGTCATGTGGTCAGATGAGACCAAAATAGAACTTTCTGGTCATAATTCCACTAACCGTGTTTGGAGGAAGAAGAATGATGAGTACCATCCCAAGAACACCATCCCTACTGTGAAGCATGGGGGTGGTAGCATCATGCTTTGGGGGGGTTTTTCTGCACATGGGACAGGGCGACTGCACTGTATTAAGGAGAGGATGACCGGGGCCATGCATTGTGAGATTTTGGGGAACAACCTCCTTCCCTCAGTTAGAGCATTGAAGATGGGTCGAGGCCGGGTCTTCCAACATGACAATGACCCGAAGCACACAGCCAGGATAACCAAGGAGTGGCTCTGTAAGAAGCATATCAAGGTTCTGGCGTGGCCTAGCTAGTCTCCAGACCTAAACCCAATAGAGAATCTTTGGAGGGAGCTCAAACTCCGTGTTTCTCAGCGACAGCCCAGAAACCTGACTGATCTAGAGAAGATCTGTGTGGAGGAGTGGGCCAAAATCCCTCCTGCAGTGCAAACCTGGTGAAAAACCTCTGTAATTGCAAACAAAGGCTACTGTACCAAATATTAACATTGATTTTTCTCAGGTGTTCAAACACTTATTTGCAGCTGTATCATACAAATAAAGAGTTAAAAAATCATACATTGTGATTTCTGGATGTTTTTTTTAGATTATGTCTCTCACAGTGGACATGCACCTACGATGACAATTTCAGACCCCTCCATGATTTCTAAGAGGGAGAACTTGCAAAATAACAGGGTGTTCAAATACTTATTTTCCTCATGTATAGAGATGCTCTGTCCTTTGATTATAAATCAAATATGTCAGGCAGGGAGTATGTAGCAGCTGTTTTAAAGGACTGATTGTGGAGCAACATCATGAGACTCCTTCAAAGCTGCCAGTGTTGAAAAGACATCTTAACTAAAGTCACTTTTTAAAAGGAGACAGCATCAAACTCTTGCAGATTGTCTTGCATTATAAGACCCTCCAGATCTAAGCTAAGAACACAAGTCATTTCAGTTTAGTCAATTTATTATTTTATTTTATTATTTCAAAGCGGGTCCACAAGCCTCTACCTCCATCATTGGTATCATCCAAGAAGCTGATGCTGCTGGTAAGTTTAGGCCTACATCAACAATAAATGAACAATTATTCACCTCCAGGAACACCCAGTGTATGAATATGTCATCCATCCATCCATCGTCAGGTCGCCAGTCCA